GATCTCTTGCAATGTTGACCTAACTCTAATTTGTTTTATAAAAAAGGGGATGTCGGGCAGCCGTGCCATCATATTAAAAAGTTTACCCTGTTCGACCATCCACTTCGGTAACTTCAGAGATGAATAACGTACGAATAAACGTTAATTCGATTCATCCAGACAGCGTCGTTCCAAAGCATGAAAGTACAGCTGGTATTCAAATAAGTCAGTTACCCAATAATCTGCATCCAGTAATAACCGATGAGGCGTTTCACTCAGAAAACTTGTCAAACAGACAGGATACTTATCATGGCTTAACACTGATTAATTCAAGTCCACTAGTAGAACCAGAAACTGTCCAAACTGCATCTTCAGTACCTAAAATCGATCAATCCTCAATGATGATGGTATGGTTAGATTCAGTCGTAGACATTTATATCTCTACGAAAAATCATCTACGAAAGATAACGGATAACTTGAAAACATTTAGCAACAATGATCAATGCAAGAACTATTTGGACAACCACTGTGATCAAGAAATAGTTTTGATCGTATCTGGTCAATATGGAGAAATTTTTGTGCCTCTCGTACATAATCTTCCACAGTTATCGCTGATTTATATTTATTGTAACAAAAAACAAGTTCATTCGCAATGGGCAAAACATTACAAAAAAGTAATTAGAATTATTTGTTTCTTATCTTTTTTCGAAATGTTGCTCATTATTTTAGATACGTGGCGTACACACTGACCTGAGTGAGTTAATTGAACAAATTTTAAACGATATCGAAACACTTCCTCAAGTTTTTGATTCACTGCCAATCGGTTTTCTACATCTCTCTAATCAGGAAAGTACACATAAAAATCTTTCGAGTGAGAAAGGCGATTTCATATGGTTTCAACTGTTCATTAACCTTCTATTACGAATGAGCTATACACAATCAGACAGAACTAAACTTTATGAATTATGTTTAATGAAAGCAGGAAACGATATCACTGAACAAAATTTGATTCACAAATTTAACGACACGTACAAAAGAGAGCAAGCGATCTGGTGGTATACATGACCGACACATATTTATCGATTGTTAAACGAAGCACTTCGACCGCAAGATATTGATACTATATTTGCTTTTCGATTTCTGATTAAAGATATATATGATTTACTAAAGAAAGAATCGGAGAAACAACAGGAAGATGATATGATTGTATATCGTGGTCAAACAATAACGAAAGACGAGTTAGACCGCCTGAAAGCTAGTTGTGGACAACTTATATCAATGAATAGTTTTCTATCATGCAGTAAGAATCGCATTTCAGCGTTAAGATTTTCGAAACAGTCTGCAGTTATACAGGATGTACAGCCAATTCTTTTCAAAATCGAAACGACCTGTCTTTCGGACACAAAACCATTTGCTGACATAACAGATATGAGTTATTTTCGTCGAGAAAATGAAGTATTGTTCATGATTGGTCCAATATTCAAAATTGAAAATGTATTGTATAAAGACGATGAACAAGCTTGGCTCATAAAATTGATTCTTCATAGTGAACATGGTCATGAGGTTGAAAACTTAATTCGTCACACTACAAGAAAATTCGACAACGCTTCTGATCTTTTAGTGTTAGGTTCCCTTTTGACAGAAATGGGGAAAAGTGAAAAAGCACACGTACTGTACAAAAGTGTGCTCAATAGACTATCATCTGTGACCCCGATATAGCTAACTGTTATGACGGGTTAGGAAACATAGCTGAAGCTAATGGACAGCTTGAAGATGCAATGCAACATCATAGGAATGCATTAAATATACGACGAGCTAGAAATAAATCAGATGTCAGCAATTAGCTATTTCAATTTAGGAGCAATCTGCGACCACTACGAAGACAACACTAATGAGGCATTGACACCCTTCCACAAGTTCATCCGACGATTGCTGAAAGTTATAACAATATTGCACAGGTGTATGAATATATGAAAAACTTCGAATTCGCATTCACGTATTATACAATGGCGTTAATTATAAGAAAAAAAGTGTTGCCAGCCCATCATCCTGATATCATTCAAGTAGAAAATAACATCAGAGAATTGAAAGCTATAATAAATAAATTACAATAAGCATCTGATTATCAACAATTTTTCTCTTTTTAGCGCATTCTTCCTCAAAATAGATAAACTCACTTTGCATTTATCGGAAGTCCCTATATTTTGACGTTAAGATAACTGTTAATTTTAGTTTTATAAATTGAATTTAGGAATCGGGGATAGATAATTAGATATGTAATTTGTTTCATAATGTAGCTAAAAAACTCTTCTCTTGATTTCATCTGTATTCCTGGCATGAAAGAAGGGATAGCACTCATGGCGGTAGAAAATAAAGGTTAGTGTTGAATACGTAAGATCACGTAAGAAAAGAAAACACCAAATACGCCCGAATATTCTGATTTAAATCGTGAAAAACTAAGGTAAAAGATATACAAGTACTCACAAATGAATAAACACAATAATCTGACCCACGATCAAGATTCAGAAAGAGATTGCCAAATGTACAGGAATTCTATCCTTTATTGAGTTTATCATAGTATAGACTGAAATTTAAGTACTGTACAATATGTGTACATAGTGCAGTGAACAATGAGAGAGAGAAGTGAATTCTCATTGGAAGAGAATGACATATCTTTAATGACTGGCTCCATCTGTCTAGATATTCTGACCAATTCAGTTCGTACAGCATTTCACGGACTATTCAGCGGTATTCTTTTAAAAAATATACAGTTTTTCATTCAGACAGAAAAATGACTAAAGGAGTGCTCCACAGGCGCTTTCCGTAGTGAATGAAAAAGTTATTATAAAATGACTCGCTCAATTTTAGGTAAAAACCGCAATGTTTTAATGGAAATTCAATATCTCAAGAAAGAAACAGAATTTCGAAAAAGCGAATTATACTTTTGTAGTACCATCAAGGTTATTTGGCTTTAGAACTGAAGCTCTATCTCTTAACACAAAAAACTAGATAGCTTTGCACGGCAACTGGTTAGGTCCGTGCGTGGTTTAATTTTGTGTTTCGGTCCAGCATCTTGAAACCAATGTCATGCAGTTTTCGACACGAAATCTAAAAAATTTTGTCTTGCGAAAAAAAGTTATTGCGTGAAAGTTTGCAGTTTTATGAAAGAAAAACTCCTCGCAGTTTTTTTGATTTTTCTCCATGAAAACACGCACTGAATAAACTCCAACGGTGATATTCGCAATCAGCTTCAATTTCTCTATCGAATTATAGATAAAGAAGCTAAAAATAAAATAGTATTTGATCTTTGAATTACGCGCTCTGTAATGCAGCTTTGCACATGTTTATTTCTGTTTTTTCTTTTTGCTGTAAATACTTTCTTTGTTTAATAACTAAGCACTTTTCTAAAACTCGCTGAATCTATGGACTTTAAGTTTCTTAATTCAAGTATTACTAACGGTTCGCAACAAATACGCGATAATATTGCTTGTGGCCCTGATGATATACCAGTGATTCTCTTAAAAAAGAACGTCGCACCGTTTGCACATCAACTTTATCATATATTCCAACTTTCTATAGAAACTGGATGCTTTCAGTGGAAATTAGCTTTTGTTAATCCTATTCATAAGAAAGCTTCTAAAACTATTGTGTCTAATTACAGACCAATATCTCTTTTGCCGATCGTGAGTAAAATCTTGGAGCGCTTTATTTACGATCAACTGTTTCACCATCTGGCCGTAAATAATTTTTTTTCAAACAAACAGTTTGGTTTTCGTCCTAAGACGTCAACCATTGATGCTCTTTTTTGTCTTTTACACAATCTCACAAACAACTTAAATTAAACCGCCAGTGGATAGCGTCTTGGTCACATTTGACATGCATAAGCCACAACAAGCCAAGCTCAATGACTGTTTCAGATTTTTTTCTAAGTAGTCTTATCTTGTAGAGTGTTATGTCGGACGCTGTCACCAGGTGAAAATCCCTTTCACCGATTGAAAAGTCTAAGTTGATCGAGCAAATAAAACTTTATTTGTATTCAACAAAAACCTATCGAACCTACTAAAATACATCGTTATTTATAGCAAAAAATCAAACATTTAAAATGAACAAAAATGATGCAACTCTAAATCACACCAAACTAGGATTATCTGGAAACCTATGATGTAATGAAAAGAGATTGAAATCCTATGAATGATGAAATAGTACCTAGAAGAGCGTACAAGACCATTGGTCTGATGAAATAGATAACTACCATATGATATCGCAAAAACCGAACGAGATCATATGTATGACGAAATAGACGAAAAAAGAAAGAGAACATATGTATGATGAAATGGACAAAGAGACAGAGATCATATGTATGATGACACATAAAAAGGGGCGGAAAAGAGATAAACGAAATACATGATGAAACAGTTAAAACAGAATGACCTTTGACTTAGGGAGTGAACGTATTCACTTCCTAACACCTCCCTCCACCGAGAAGATGAACGTCCCGTTCATAAAAATCACCGCAATATCACAATAAAAAAATAAAAGAGCGTGATGTTACGGAGAGTTGTTGTTAGATTGTAAAATACCCGCTTATGTTGCTGTTGTTTGATTTGATGATCGGTCTTTGGAAGATCAGGTATTGTGCCGGTCACTATCACATCCAAGAATTTCATCATGGAAGTATTTGAATATTACCATTAACAAATTACGATGTATCGACCCACCATAAAATAGAATGATAATGTATCTATGTGAAACATGTCAGCCTAGCTAAATTAATCCTCATTATCATTATGAGTAAACATCGTGGGTGGTGTTATAACCATTTCCATTATTATTACGATGTAAATGATATTTGAATAATATGTAACGAGCCCTATCAATCAGTGAGGCTAATGAACTCTCCCCCGATATCGTGCTAATCACATAAATTACATAATTTTATGTCATAATAATCACTGTAGCCTTCCAATTACCTAGTACCAGTACCATATAACACCATCAAATGTAATACTAATAACATAAATTTAGATCATTCGTGGATAAACAGGTTGTATTCTGCTGACATGAACCTGTTCTTGAATTGATGATTCTTTATCTTCCACTAAATATGCGAGTGGATGTTGTTGTTGTATCACTTTGTATGGTCCAGAATATAATTCACCGAATTTTGGACGTTTACCATGCTGTTTGATAAATACTAAATCACCTGGATGATAAATT